TCCTTCCTCCTAGGGGGCCCAAATTTGCAGTTGCCTTCCAGTGTACCAGGAACGGGTTATAGGGCCACCAGGAAAATTAGTCTCTTCATTGTAAATAAGTCAGTCTGAGAAAGACAAATACCATAATGATTTCACTCATAATGTGGAATTTAAGAAACAAAACGAAAAACAACAATAAAAGAGAGACAAACAAAAGATCAGACTCTTAACCAACAGAGAACAAACTGGTGGTTAACAGAGGGGAGGCAGGTGAGGGTCTGGGGTAAACAGGTGAAGGGAATCAAGAGTACATTTATGAAGATGAGCACTGAGTCATATAAAGAATTGCTGAATCATTATATTGTACACTATGTTAATTACACTGGAATTAAATAAATGAAAAATAAAATAAAATAAAATAAGTCTCTTTTAGCCATTGTGAATGGGAGGAGGAAAGGACTAAGCTCTTTGAACTAGTACCTCTACTCTAGGGACTGCATACATATTCCCCAGGGTCCTTATTCAAATATTGTTTGCCATGTGTTATGAGGTGACAAGAGATCAAGAGGCACTCATAACGAATCTTAATTCACGAGAGAAGGGAAAGCACCAACACCGCATGGTGAGTCGCCTGGCCATAGCAATCCCCAGAGGAGCTGGGCAGAGGGCACCATTTTTCTCTTGAATACCTATTGGCTTAAGGCCCAAAACCCAAGGTTGGGCCTTCATGCTGCTGCCTCCTACTGCGACGGTGTCTGTGTTTAGCTTACGTTTCCAACATCGTTAATTAAACCCCCACTCCCAGAGAAGGAAGGGAAAGCTATGGTGCCAAATCGTGTTTTTCCCACCAGGAGCCACTGACCTCTGGGTCTCTCAACTTTGTGCAAAGAGCCTGTGGTGTATCACATGCCAAGACCGACAGGGCACATTTGTTCCTCAGCACATACACCAAGGACCATGGGACAGGACGATTTCAATATATACCTCCCTGGTATTATCTTCTGGTTTTTTATTATGTCTTTCAGAAATAAGGTTGGATAACTAAATAAACACTCAAATAAATAAAGAAATGGAAATCTCCTGGGTATTGAAATATGTTATGCAAATTCCACAATGTTTTTATTAGACAAAATACATTTCTGTGGCTGAGGTACCCAGGTTTGTTCCAATAGCTAAGCAGGACTGGGAGAAAGCCATCTTTTGGGCAAAAATTAGACTATGACCAATCACATAGAAAAATTCTCCCTTGAAAAGGGTTTACTTTTTAATTTTTTAAGCTCTCCATAAATAGAGCTTTATGAGGAGAATACCCAGAAGTCTTAGTAAAATTATAGGAACAAATTAGAACCATATAACCCAACATTGGATAATCATAAAACATGAAAAAGATACCTTTTTTCCCCTCTTTAGGGTATTTTCTTTTTTCCTTTTCTAATTTGGATTATGTATCACCATCATCTATCTACACTAAATACCATAAGTATTTTGTTTTATGTGCAATTTACCAAATGTAGAGCATACTAAATTTTATGTGTAGCATAGAATTACAGCAGTGATTATTCTCTTTCTGGATAATATCAGGGCTTAAATGCATGTATTTCAGCCCAGAGTAGAAACACAGACACTCACACACAGCTAATTGTGTCTCCAAATAATCAGAAAGGTTTACTCGATGTTACATATACAACCATTGAGAACAATCCCAAAATGAGGTGCTCCTGAAAAAAATACTACAATGTCTCTGTATTTGTACCACTTCTAAGATCATAGATGCAGAACCGTAGTAAACTCATAGAAGAAGGAAGGAAAAGCATTGAAGCCATAAAAGGTTGATGCACCTGGTACAGGGAAAGGCCATTTGAAGTGAGACTATGATCCCATCACTTCCATGTATGAGCTCTCCCTTTATTGGACGTGCAACTCTGGACCATTCATTAAAACTCTCATCTTGGTGAGTAAAACAGTATTGAGACAAAGGTTTCATGACACTCAAAGATAGGAGTGTTCTAAAAGTATTTTGTAAACCATGACTGGTAGGCATTGTTTAACTTTAAAAAAAGAAGAAAGAGGGGGTGCCTAGGTGGCTCAGTGGTTGAGCACCTGCTTTCAGCTCAGAGTGTGATCCCAGGGTCCTGGAATCAAGTCCTACATCGGGCTCCCCGCAGGGAGCCTGCTTCTCCCTCTGCCTGTGTCTCTGCCTCTCTGTCTGTATCTCTCATGAATAAACAAATTTTTAAAAATCTTTTTTAAAAAAAGATGAAGAAAGAAAACCAACTCTACAGTTTTACTGAGCATCTACTACATGCTCTGTATTTTATCAGGTGCTTTGCGTGCTTCTGTTCCTTCCAACAACCCCATGAGGTAGAGATTCTCATTCACATGTCAGGGCAGAGTTGCCGTCCACATTTCCCCAGCCTTTCCCTCCTTCTTGTCACCTGGTGATCTCATCTCAGTTCTCTGGTTTCAGCTCTGGGGCTGCTGGCTTGCTCAGAAGAAACACCAGGCACCTTGCACTTGACTCTATCCCTCCACTCTGTAGCACGGTGAGTGTAGCAGCTTGGCACAGCCACAGGGAGAAAAGGTTGAGCTAATCTTTAACTTTTTTTTTTCTTCCTCTTTTCTCAAATGTGCCAGACAAGTGAAAATAGACCGTGACCTTTTGGGGAAAGAAAGCAAAGCCTGAAATGATGACACCATCCTCTGAGGCAGTGACCTGTAGTGTTGCAAGGACTTTGGGTGTCTTCAACCTCTGACCTGTCCCTCCTGGCCCTTCTCTGCAGCTGTTTCTGTGTCTCGGGGCTCGCCCTGTCTTCATGCAGAGCCTGCTCCTAATGTGTCAGTGTGGGGCTTGGTTGGTTAGCCCACGCTCTGAAATATAGCAGCCTACTCGAAACATAGAATAGAGTTTGTTCTCGGTGTTCTCCTGTCTATATCGATTGGATCAAAGGGAGATCCATCTGGAATCTACTTAGAGTCCTTCCAGATGGTAAGCTTGCTTCCAGATGGTACATTTAATAGGAGAGAAAGAAATCACTGAACATAAACATCATAGCACCAGGGAAGGCCCTGTGACCTTATTTCTTTCAGGATTCTTCAGGACTCAGAACAATTGTGCCTGCCTTAGATTTTCGCAGAAAATTGCTCTTCTTCCTGAATTTCAGACTGAAATTAGGAGCCTTCAGGGAGTGATGGTGTTATTTATATCCAAGCACTGACCATCCGTAACCACGATTTATGGATTGTGGCTTGATTCATCGTATTTTAAAAGTTTACATGAATTTAAAAAGCCATTATCAAATTCCACAGGGAGTTCAGGGGCTTTCATTATCCAAGTGCCATCTACTGGATGCAAGCTAATATTTGGCTGATCCTAAAAAGTGGATGACTTTCAGCAAACCTGCCTGCCACTGGTGTACCACCAGCTTAAAAAAATTATAATTTCCACTTGCAAGGTAAGAGACCCCTTAAAAAAGATCACAGGCTTGCATCTCAGAAGAGCCATCGTGGTGGGCTCTCCTTTGAACAAGGGGTGGATCCTGGACATTTAGGACCTGGGCCCCAAGGCAAGCAATTTCAGAAAGGAGGCATACTGTCTCATTATCTCTGCTGCTACTATCGTAAATGTGCTTTGTCCCAGACTTTCCCACACATAACTTTGTGTGGCCTGGAAACTTCTATTCATTCAACCAAGAAACAAATATTTATTCATTCGTTTATTCGTTTTCTTGAGGGCAACAGGGGTCTGGGCTTGGAGCGAGGGTCACAAGATCGTGACAGTCAGCAATCTTCTGGTGGAACCTGGATGGTCCCTGCTCTTGCTGGCCAGACACCTGTCCTATCTTGATTCTTGGCTGAACTTTTTCAGTGTGCATTGGCCAGCCCCGCCATACCACCTTCTTCCCCAGCACACAGCCCTGGGACGGGAGGTTGCTTCATTGGCCTTTACCCCTCTGCTTTGAACCTGTCCTTGTTCCCTATAAACCTCAGTCCGATCAATACAGAGGTCACCTCCATGAATGAGCAACTTCCATTGAAAGGATAAACTACGTGAGCTCAATCACAGCCCCTTGGCTTTCGACCGACCTCCCACCGAAAGTTCTGGACCTTGACTAAAGTCCTCATAGGCCTGGATCCAAACACGGGCTAGTAGGTCACTTAACTTTATTTGCTTTTTCTCCTAACCAGTCAGAGATTGCAAGCTTTTATATGTAACCTGGCTGCCAAACACGCACTGTGGTCAGGGTGGAGTGGCAAGGGAAAGATCCCTCTGTGTACCAACACCTGCTCCCCGAAAGGCCCAGGGCTGGGACTTCAGCCCTCCTGTGAATCTGCATGGCAGTCTGGGGCCCTGGACATTAGGGATGCAGATTCCATAAATTCGAAGCTGTGTGATTTAGATAGGAAATATTTAGATTCAGATTTGCAGTATCTATGAAGACAGGGCTTGCTAAGCAAATGAAAGGAGTTCCTATCTTCTTTTTTACACCTAACTAAAAAGTAAAACAACACCACCCTCAGGATCCAGGCCAGGGTCTGCAGACAAAAATTTACATTAAGAGAATAAATAGTTTTTGAGTACCCTACAACTCTCCGTAAACACCCCCCCCCCAGGTACAAGCAACTATAAATAATTTTTATCTGTTACTAAGCAAACGTGTCATAGGAACATTTGGTTATTCTACATCCATTTTTGTTATATTATTTCTAAAAGGCCTGGATTTGATAGACCGATTGCAATAAAGTCTATTTCTTCAGTAATTCAGATGGGCTCTGACCCCCACGCCTGCCACATTTATTCTGAAATCGGTGAGGGTGTATTGTAGTCATAGAGAATCAGTTAGAAGGTGCTTTGAGGTCAGTTAGCCTCCAGGCAGAGCTATTCTAGAACTATTTTAGACCTACAGTGGCTTATATCATTATCCTGATACCGGTATAACCATTATTGTTAAGTGATGCTGCCCTATGACAATCACGTTTCATTTTTGCCAAGTACTTTAACCTGGATTTTCATTTTTCCCCAGATGATCTTAAAATTGTTATCTCCTGTTCTCCAATGGGGAAACTGAGGCAGAGGAAGAAGCTCTGTGTGGCTTCAGGCCTCAGAACCTACTCATGGTAAGCCAGGAGTAGAACCCTTGTCTTTTGTAAACCAGCTAAGCGTGGAAAGCACGGGACACGTCTCTCCAGTCTTTGCTGCTTGTTCAAGTGTGCTTCAGAGTGTGCCCCTTCTCACTAATTTGAACACTTGGGAGTATGTTCTCCAGCTTCCAGCGGATGTCCTGGTTCCTAAAAGTGTTCAGAGCACTGCCACTACTTCCTGCAGATGTGCAAACCAGCAGGTGGAGAGGGAAAGAGCAGGAAGGAAGTTGGGTAAAGATGGGAGGGTAGTAGGAAGTACCCCTTCTCAGGCTCCTCCTTTCCTAGGCAGCGACTGTCTGTTCAAAACCACAGCAAGGCTGCCCATAGCGATGTCTTCAACAGGAGGGAAGTGTTGGTCCAGAAACAGTAAAGCTAATCTTTGTTGAGGGCTTGTTAATGAGACAACATGCTGAGCATCATCTTGTATCATCTTCACCTTAACCACAGAAGACACTAACATCACTGTCTCCTTTCTGCAGGTGAGGAGCTCAAAGCATAAAGAGAGGAAGTCACTTGTTTCAGCTCTCAGGGTCCAGGAGCCTGTCTGACTCCAGAGGGGACTCATGCCTGGGCTTCCTGTCTCCAGGGAATCTGGACAGAGCGGTGGAAATTTCAGGTCTCACACTCCTTGGGCTTGGGGTTGCCCAGAAAAAGGGGATGCCCACCATTTGTGCCACATTTAAGTCCATAATGGACAATCAGATATAGCTTTAAGAATGTCAGCTCCAGGGGGATTGCTGGAGTCTGGGTCATTATCATCTCTCCTTCCTCTCTCCCTCCTCCTCCTCCTTCTTCTTCTTTGGGATGTAACACTTATTTGTGGAGAGCCTGAACCCCTTAGATGGATATGGTATCTTATTCCCCGAAACTCTTTTGTCATATCTGTTGGCAGAACTTAGAAGTGTGCATTTCACTTTCCTAAGAGATGTGCCAAAGGCCAACATTTTAAAAAAGAAAAAAAGAAAAATGGGTCCCTCTGGAGTTTTCATTCATTTACTCGGAAATAATCAGAATGTGAGCAAAAAGGGTGTAGTAGGCACAATGCTGAGCAGTAGGACATAAAGGTGAATATGATGGGTTTGGTTCCTCTCTCTTGGAGTTTATAGCTTGGGACAGGGGCTGGCAAACTCTAGCTGTGGGCCAAAGGCTGCCTGTTTTTATAAATAAAGTTTTATTGGAACATAGCCACACTGATCCATTCACAATTTGCCTGTGGCTACCTTTGCACTAAAACAGTGGAGTTGAGTCATTGCAACAGAGACAAGATGACCTGAAAAGTGTGGAATCTTTACTATCTGGCCCTTTCTGGAAAAAGTTTGCCAACCCCTGTCCTAGGGTAACATTTATTTTTCAAGCCCGGAAATTTTTCTTTCAGATGAACGTGTGTATTTATCCTCAAACTGGCTATCCGTTAGGACCAGGCAGTTGGCTTCCTAAAGGAAACGGTCATCACTTTGGAGGACTCAGCAATGCTGAGAAAAACAAAATTATGACAATAAAGTAACCACCAGCATTTCCTGAGTGTTTGCTACTAGCCAAGCAGAGCTCTAAGCATGGGTTACCTTGCTCAGTTCTCACAGTTCCTCTCTGCAGGTGGCACTGTTATTTCTCCCATTTTACAGATGGAGGCTGGATAAATAACCAGATTTTGGAGCTAGAAGGAGCCAGCCGGGCACACGCTCTTCCCTGTTGCTCTGCATTGGAAGAGGTAGTGGGGTGCGGGGTCCTATCCAAGCAGGCTGGAGAGATGGAGATCCACACCGCATCCCCCAACCCCAGAAGTCGCCAAACAGTGCTGGGCCTATTTTTAGGCCTGAAGAAAATCCTCATACAAGAGAGGATGAGTCTCTCCCTTGCCCTCTGTACACAGACACACTCTCTGATTGGAGGGGGATGCAATTGCGACACCACGCTATGAGCCTCTCTGTAATTAAGGTGCTTCTCAGATGTGGGTGTGTCTAATGACTCTGCTAATGTTGATCCATGGGGGATGCTTTGGAATTCAGTGGGAAAAAAATAGAGGCATTGATTCATTCTGCCAGAAAGAAGAAATAGAAGGAGCTCCTTTAGAGTTTATTTCTCTATCCCTTTCTTTGGGAATTCCCAAGACCCTAATGGCCATGCTCTTCCTTTGCTTCTGACACCCCCTGAATTCCTTCTCCCCATCTCCAGAATATCATTGCCCTTGCCACAACAAGCTTTTCCGAAAACATGAAGGCCTCTCCTGGGATTCTTTTTTTTTTTTTTTAAGATTTATTTATTTATGATAGACCTAGAGAGAGACAGAGAGGCAGAGACACAGGAGGAGGGAGAAGCAGGCTCCATGCCAGGAGCCCAACGTGGGACTCGATCCCCGGACCCCAGGATCGCGCCCTGGGCCAAAGACAGGTGCTAAACCGCTGAGCCATCCAGGGATCCCCTCTCCTGGGATTCTTAAAATGTAATAGCAGGACCACAAAAATGATACTGGGGCAACTCCCATGTCTGAGTAGGGGAAGGTACTTTACCAAGTTCAGGAACAGAGTAGAGAGGTCTCCATTCCTTGTATGTCTTTCCAGTTATCAAGAAGACATAACCCTGGGGCGCCTGGGTGGCTAAACCGTTGAGTGTCTGCCTTTGGCTCAGGGCATGATCCTGGAGTTCTGGGACCGAGTCCCACGTCGGCAGGGAGCCTGCTTCTCCCTCTGCCTGTGTTTCTGCCTTTCTCTCTCTGTGTCTCCCATGAATAAATAAATGCATAAAATCTTTTTAAAAAAAAATGAAAACATAAACCTAAGGCTACTCAAACTTTCTTTCTGAACGTGGCATTAGTTGATGACAGCCCGGGAAGCTTTGCTTCTGTTGTGGTTGTTCAGAAACAATCGCTGGCCCTATTCTCAGGAACTTGTACAGATGTAGCTTGCCACAAGAACAGGTAGGGGATCATTTCTGTGTCTCCCACGCACTGGGGCCATTGGAACACGGATTGATACAGGAAGTCCGAACCACTCCCTGGAGGCCTCCCCGTTTGAGAGTTTACAGTGTCCTAGCTCCATAGTGCCTGAATGTGGGTATTTGCACCCACTACCCCTTGTTTCTGAAGGCCCTGTGCTATAGATATATCCAACAGGACGCTCACCGAATGTGCTTTCTAAGTTACTCATTTCAGACAGAAGCCTGAGTCCTGTCTTAACCTTGATAGAGCCATAAGTAGAACGAGCAAATGTATATAGTCTCTAAAATATGCATGGAATTACAAAAAAGTAAAAGGTACCTACTTTTAGGTCTGACAAGCTCTTCACTCCATAGAATTATGCACCACAGTCCCCACCGTTCTGTAAAATCTTCGGGAGGCCTTGCATTTCATATGCAAGCAGTACCAGCATGGCATTCCTAGAACATTTAAATAGGCTGTCTCTATAGAATTAGCTAGACAGCCAGCATTGGAGGAGTTTGAGATAATTATGTCTTCCATAAAATGAAGTTCTGTTCTAAGGAGGAAACGTGGCCAAGATGCCAGGTACGTTTTTCGTTTTCTTTGTATCTTGGCCGTCTCAAGCCAACACACATTCCAAGCCACCCGTTTGCTCATGTTTCTTTCGTGAAATGACTCTATTTTCTCAGGGCTCACGAGTAACTATCACAGTGAGGATATAGATTTCATTTTCCTCCAAGATTTTATTTAGGACACACTTTGGGGATCTTGCATAACCTCTCTGAAAAGAAGTTTGCAAAATAAAACAATCTTGTCATCTGCTTCTTTCTTTCTTTCTTTCTTTCTTTCTTTCTTTCTTTCTTTCTTTCTTTCTTTCTTTCTCTTTAACAGAATTAAATTAACAGAAAAGATCCAAGCTTTCTAGTTTAAATTTATGCCAAATTGATTCAAAGTTAACATATTTTTGAAAGGGTTATCTAATAGAATTTCAAATGGCTCTTGCTAATGCTTAGTCTTATTTCTGATCCCAGCTCCCCTGTCTTTGAGAACCTAAGGAACCAGTTAGTAAGAAGGTAAGGGAAATGACAGGAAAAGCGAATTAGAAGTTAGATTACATTCATGTCCTCTGTGTGGTGTCTTTAACATAATAGTCTTTGAAGAAAAAGAAAAGAGACAAGATTTGGAAGAAATAGAGGGCTACCCCCAATGATATCTCTTGATATCATACTTATCATGTGGGGCCGCCATGCATAGTTGTTCACTTTGAGACTGCACAACCCAAGGGGGGCACCCTTCCTATCATAATCTATGTGTATAGACCTGATAGTGGACATTCTCTGGCACTGAACCCTGGCTCCCTACCTCCCTCCCTAGCTGAGATGGATATTCAGTCCTCTTTTAGCCACTCTACTTGTCATCCCAGTCTGGCACAGTCAGCTTCCAGAAGATTCATCCACACAAGCAACTCCTCCTTAGGTTTGTCCCACTCTGGACACAGAAACTTGGACACTGCTATGTTCCTGGCTGTGCCTAGTGACTTTTCAGTGCGGCCTTGGCTCCCTACCAAGACTCAGCTTCTTGGGACATCAATGAATCTATTGCTTCTGCTTTTATTTTTGGTAGTATCCACACCCCCAGGCCCTTGGCTTTCCTGTCAGTTAGTCTACTTTGTCCCAGGTTTGTCTGGAAACAGGGAGATTTCCAGAATTTTCTCTACTGAGAAGGTAGGGGTAGAGAAAAGAGGAAAGAAGAAGAGAATGCCAAACTTATCTCAAAAAGACCCAAGCCTGTCCCATTCTGGCCCACCTTGTCTGATTCTGCTCTGGCCTTTAGCATAATTTTCATTATGGAAAATGCCGATAGCGAAAGTCTTTTAGTTTTATATAAAAGTGTTTTGAAATGGTCCTTGCATTAAAATCTATTTATCAATAGAGAGATATCAAGTGCTACTTGTCTATATATTTGATTCAGCTATAAATATTCCATGGGCACCTCTAGAAGCCTTGCTTTGTCCTGCAGAGCATTAGCTGGCTTGCTCTTCACAACATCAGCCTTTTCTAGTCTTTTCCTCCCTCCTTCTTCTCTTTCTTTTCTCTCTCTCTCCCCTCCCTCCCTCCCTCCTTCTTCTTTCTCTGTTTCTCTCTTTCTCCTTTTCTTTTTCAAGGACCCAGTCAATCATTTTCTCTAGTGCTGAAATGTACTTTAAGGAGTCATCTAACCCAGTACCTTGCATTAAGGTAAATAAGATAATAGTGTCTCAGTTTTATAGAAGAGGTAACAAGCCCAGAGAGAAGAGGCTTCAAGCTATGCAAATTGATAAAAGCCAAAAGCCAGCGTTCTTAACCTTGGCTATGAATGAAAATCAGGGGAAGAAGATTCTAGAGCCATCAATATCTGTAAGGATGGTATTTCTTGACCCTACCTGCTCAGAATTCATTTCAGAATCTGAGTGTTGGTGAAAATACAGATTGCTGGGCCTCCCTGATAAGGGGGTCTGGGTGGGCCTGAGAATGTGTGTATACAACCCATTCTAGGACAGATGATACTGGGCTGGGCATGCAGGATTTCGACCATGCAAACTATCAGCAGTGGAAAATGCCTTTACTGGTGAGTTAGCAAAAGGGATTCTGGGTTGGAGTTGAGTCAGTGATCCCTGACCCACTTCAAAATGCTCTGAGTCCCTGGTCAGTGACCCA